TGTCATATTATCTGTATGATTTTGGATCCTGTACTAAAAATCCAAATGGTCAGCAGCCCAGAACAATGACATCCATATGCAGGGTGGCGGGGAGGAGGGCGCTAATACTTCTGTATGGTCAAAAGGTCCAAGACATAAACCTCTGGAAGACTAAAAAAAAAAAATGAAAAGTCAACTAGAGATGTCTTATGGTTAAGAAAAAGTGAAGAGAATTGGCATTGTGTTGATGGAATTCTAGTGCACAGTTCCTTTCCTAAAGGCCCAGAGCTCTTTTGATATCCCCCTCCCCTTGTCCAACCAAATTCTTTGTGCAATAAATGTGTTCTGGTTTGAAAACCTAAACAGCATTCAGATACATATTTTTTTCTCAAATGAAAACACATGCATTGCACACAGAATTTGTCCAATTAGAGAAATAGATTAGAACTCTCTTCTACCTTGTTAAGAAAGGAGATGAGCTGCCTATCAGTATACTGTTGTCTAGCAACATGGCATTAACTTTCCTATTCCTGTTTTAAATCAGAGACTGCTTACCCAAAAATCAGCTTTTCATTTTTTGGCTTTTCCAGCTTTGTGTCTTTATTTTGTTTGCCTTTCAGCGCTTTGTCGTCATCAGCATTTTTCTTCAAATTTCCCTCTTGTGTACTATCACTAGTGGTAGCTCTAATGCAGACTGGCAGCCAGTGTTAAATAGTATACTGATATTACCATAGGTCTCTCTACACTAGTGCCCCATCAGTGCAGCTCTACTGGTAGTAGTGCAATGTGGGAATTATGAAGAAAAATGCTGATGTAGACAGTCAGACAGCAACGTCATGCTTTTGTGCTTACCCCCATATCACTAAAACAACAAGGAGTCCGGTGGCACCTTAAAGACTAACAGATTTATTTGGGCATAAACTTTCGTGGGTAAAAAACCTACACTTCTTCAGATGTCTCCATGCATCTGAAGAAGTGAAGCTTTTTACCCACAAAAGCTTATGCCCAAATAAATCTGTTAGTCTTTAAGGTGCCACCGGACTCCTTGTTGTTTTTGTGACTGCAGACTAACACGGCTACCCCCTGATACTTGACCCCATATCACTGTTGATGTGTTAGATGTAGACAATACTGGCTTCAAACTATTACTCGAATTCCTTAAGAATCAAGTATATTGGATAAAATTGCATTAATTACATTCTAGCCTCATTGAAGGAGGCGTGCCCCAGGAGAAACTCCAGGAGGAATTGTGCCTCTAGTTGTTGGTTCTTCATGTTTGGGTGGTGCAACATCATCTGGGCAGAGTCACACATCCCTTCTCCCCCTTGCAGGGTGGATTGTGTCCCCAGAGGAGTGCTGAGGAAGCAATCCCTGTGCTGCCCTGATTACAGCTACTGTAAAAAAAAACCTGAGCTCTTGCTGGTGATGAACTGGGAGACTACCCTCTGCAAGGACCCGGGACGATCTGGCTGAATGTGTATTAAACTTCTTTGGGTGTGAAAATAAACAATATTTAAAAACTGACTGTAGTGCAGGTATAGTGACTTTCTTTGTAGCATGTTTCAGTAGGCATATCTGAATTGACCTGATAACACCATAACTTGGACTGATATGATATGTTATATTAAAAGGTACCTATAAGAGAGTATAGATTATTAATGTTTAATGTCTTTTTCATGTAGATAAGATTCTATTTTTCCAATAAAGGAAAAATTAAGTTGGTCAAAACCTCCATTGAAGTCAATTGAATATAGAATTCAGAATTTGGCATATAAATATGAAATGTAATTTCTTTCCCTGGTTGCCTTGTTATATAAAACCTTCATTTGTCACTTACTTTGTAAAATGAATACATAAGTGGGACAAGGAACAAGTTATAAATATCAGCTACATAAGACTTTTAAGTAGAATAAAGTAAATTCAGTAATAAAACAAAAAGGGTAAAGAATAACCATGAGAGGTCCTCTCACAGGAAGCTGTACATCCATAATATTAGGTCATATGTCTTAGGAATGCTAATCCATAGCTTCCATCTTAATGCAGTTTTATGAAAAGAGCTGTGTGGATATAAAGAAAGGCAGCTTTGTTTGCTAATGGATGTCTGAAGAATTACTACAGGGATATTTAAGGAGTGTAATATGTCAAATTTTACACACTAAAATTATGTTAAAATAACAGAAGAGGTTTGTCTTAAACTGACAAAAGTTAGAAAATTCAGACTTAAGACTAAATTATCATCACTGACTTTAATGATTGTCCCTAGGCATGAGTAGGTGGCTAGTATGTAAAGTTCTCCATTCTGAGTTCCCAGAAGTGAACCATGTCAGTTGCATTCCCCAGGCACAGCTATCCGTGGTGTTATATGAAGCCTAAGTTTCAGCCTTTGCTATATATTTCTTGCCTTGTATTGGCATAAGAGCATAAAAGTTGCCATACTAGGTCGGACCATGGTCCATCTTGCCCGGTATCCTCTCCCCAGTAGTGGGCCATGCCAGAACTTTGGGAGGTGGGGATGTACAGAAGAGGGCTACTATGCAGTGATCCACCCTTGTCTTCCACTCCTGGCTTCTGGCATTGCATGTCTGACCATCTTTGCTAACCACCATGATGGTCCTTTCCTCCATGGACTCATCCAGATCAGAGTTCCCTCTAATTTTTCCCACCCATGTGCAGAATGAATTTTGTTATGTGCACCAATATGGAGGTGATGTGCGACATATCACCTCCATATTGGTGCACATAAAATTCATATGGCGGGCTGGGGCCAAGGGGTTCAGAGTGTGGGGGGGCTTAGGGCTGGGGCAGAGGGTTGGGGTGCAGGGGGGTGAGGGCTCCAGCTGGAGGTGTGGGCTCTGGGTGGGACTGGGGATGAGGGGCTCGTGGGCTGGGGCAGAGGGTTGTGGTGCGGGGGGATGAGGGCTCTGGCTGGGGCAGAGGGTTGAGGTGCAAGGGAGGGTGGGGGCTACAGCTGGGAGTGTGGGCTCAAGGGTGGGGCAGGAGATGAGGGGTTTGGGGTGCAGTGGGGCTCCCCGGGGCTATGGTGGGGAGAGAGGACTCCCCCACAGCTCTCTCTGCCCACAGCAGCACCTGGGATGGTGGGAGAAGCACCTCTCCCCTGGCTGCAGCAGGGCTGGGCATGGGGAAGGGCGCCTCTCCCCTGGCCGTAGCAGGTTCGGGGCCAGGCTGGGTCAGGGTTGGGGGAGGGGTGCCCCGACAGGTTCGGAGGAGGGGTTGGGGGAGAGGCACCACGACAGGTCCGGGGGCTTGGGAAGAGTCATCTCTCCCCTCCGCAGCCCTGAGCTCCTGCCTGGCACTTAATAGGCAGCTCTTAGATCCAGATAGACCCCTAGTAGTAGTTTTGTGATAAACTGAGTAATAGTTATTTGAGTATAATTGAGTAGGAGAAGGGAGGTGACATTACCTCTGTATACTGTATTGATGAGACCATTACTGGGATGCTGTGTCCAGTTCTGGTATCCACACTTCAAAAAGGATTTTGAAAATTTGGCAGAAGTTCAGAAAAGTGTTAACAGAATGGTTTGAGAACTGGGAAACCTGCCTCAGAGAGAGATTTAAGAAGCTCAATCTATTGAGTTTAAACAAGACCAGGGCCGGCTCTAGCTTTTTTGCTGCCCCAGACAAAAAAAAAAAGGTCGGCCGGACTGCCGAAGGAAAAAAAAAGGCAGCCGTAGGGAGCGTGTGGAGGGCGGTCAAGGCGGCTCGCACGGGGGTGAAGGGCAACACATGTCCGCTCCCTCCGCCCGTGGGCAGCCAGGCGCGGCAGCCCGCTCGCAGCCGGGTAAGAGGGGCTCCCCCCTCTGGCCTTGGGGGTGGCTCTCCCGGCCGGACAGGCTCCGAGGGGGCCGACACAGGCAGCGCTGGCTGGGGTCTGCGACCTCCGCGCGGGGCCGGCATTGCAGCAGGGCTCGGCACAGTGCAAACAGTGCCAGGATCAGTGGGGCCTGCCCCTCCGCTGCCCGCCAGGCCGTGCAGAATCCTCCCTCCTTCCGGTGCCCGGGGGCTGCAGAAGGTGCTGGCTCAGCCGCTCATTTAAAGGCAGCTCGGACGGGCTGGGCTCAGAGTGGCACGGGAGGCGGAGGCCGGTGCAGGCTGCAGGGGAGTGGCGCGTCCCGAGGAGCCCAGCAGCATGATGAGCGGCGGGGATCGCCAGTCCCCCAGTCCCGTCCCCCGTCCCCCCCCGGCCCGGGGTCTGTGCCCCTGCAGGGCTGGGCTGGCCACCCCAAGATTGGCCGGAATGCTGCCCCTTACAATGTGCCGTCCCAGGCACATGCTTTCTCGTCTGGTGCCTGGAGCCGGCCCTGAACAAGACACAGTTAAGTATCTTGATTATGGTCCATAAGTACCTGTATGGGGAGAAGATATCTGGCATTAGATGGCATTTTAATCTAGTACACAAAGGCATAACAATAACCAATAGCTAGAAATCGAAGCTAGACAAATTCAGACTGGAAATAAGGATAAATAACCATTGGACCAACTTACCAAGAGACGTGGTGAATTCACCATCAGTTGAAGTCTTTAAACAAAGATTGGATGTCTTTCAGCCAGAAGTTATAGACTTGATGCAGAAATAACTGGGTGAAATTCTGTGGCCTGTATTATGCAATAGGTCAGACTAGAGGATTGTAATGGTTTCCGTTGATCTTAAATTCTATTCATGCTGTTTGAAGCAAAATTGCACACTCCTAAAAGTCATCAATAAAATAATTAAACAGAAACAGTAGCAATATGTGTAGAGTCTTATGATGCCATTGTAGGTCGGTAAACTAGGTGAAATAAACCAAGCATACGGTAGACACATACACTGCTGATTAAAAAGAGCTGTATTTTAGTTATGTCTTTCAGTCACTTTAAAAGTTTACTGACGTTTAATAATGTGATTTCAGTTAGGATGACTATAAAATTTTGCTTCCTACCACAATGCAAATTATAATGCTCTTCTCAGATCCCAGTGATACAGAATTTTGTGAAATTTAAGTTTATTTATTTGTTTATTTTAGCTTCCTAGTGACGACACTGAAATATATGAGACTGCATCACAATGCTTGTCATTGTTGGTTCAGCTGTATGGAGGAGACAACTTGGACAGTATGTCTCCAGAAAACATGGACAGCTTTGCTGAAGTATTGAAGTCCAAGAGGGATCTAAAACAGCAGAAGCTTTTGTTGAGAATCATCAAAAGATTGGTGAGTCAAACAGATATAACTTCTTGCCATCCAAAATTCCAATTTAACTGTCTGTCTAGGCTCTACTATCCCCTGGATAAAAACTTTTTTGAGAGCTGTTTTTCCCGTTTAAGTAAACATTTCTTTTTATAAAGAATATAAACAATTTCTAAAGAAGCAAAAATCCCATAATATTAGTATTTGGTTTTTTTAAAAATCCATTTTAATTTCTTTGGAAGAAAATGTCTGCACCTGGACCCATGCCTGTTTTATTGTCTACATTTAGAACCTCTATAAAAGGACTTTTTCCCTTCAGTTAACCATTTAACTGTTTTAATAGGAAGCTTTAATTGTTTATATAGGTATCTAGTACCTTGAGTTTAAGAATTATAATAGAAAATTATTTTGAATTCCTTCCAAAAACACTAAACTTGTAATAAAAATTGCTACTCAGAAACTTATAGTGCTTCATTTCATGTCAGATGCCGACTGTTTTGTAGTTGAAGTAAACTTTTATATAGACTATTGATTGTTCATTCTCATCAAGTGGTAGAGGCTACTCCTGGTGGAATGGTTATAACATAGATTATCAGTCAACAGAAATCAGACAAGCACTTCACCTTAAGTAAGTGAAAAGTTACTGACATGTAATGACTTCAGTTCCTCTCGTGCTTCGCCAATACAGATGGCAATGTTGTTTCTCAGAAGTAGATTAATGATACGCCTGACAAATCACATGATTTGTAACTTTCTTGTAAGTCCCACCATGCTTGTCATCTTGAAGTCTCTTGAAAGATCCTTTGGCTGGACTCGCTGCTAGTCTTGGATAATTACCTTTCCATCTGCTGTATTTGCTATTTACTATAATAAACAAATGTCTGTAATTATTTTAGTGAGATTTTAGGATTTCCTCTCGAAGCGGTGAAAGCAGGTTTTATAGGTAACGTGACTGAGAATATAGTAAATCTTATATTATTTCTGTGAATCTTAAAAATTCCTGTTAACAAGAGATTATTATTATTATTATTATTATTATTATTATTATTATTATTATTATTATTATTATGTCAAAATTACAGTAATCACCAAACACACTGAAATATTATCAGATCTATTTAAGGTTAACTCAGCCCACTTTCAATTATTTATGGTGAATTTTGTAGCCTAGGGAAGAGTTTCTTAGAGTTTTTCATAGTTGGTCAAAATATTAATAGAGAGATTATGTGCACCAGCTACCCATCCCATTCAGAATTGCTTTCACCATCACCACTTTTACATCTATGATAGCATAGCATCCCTGTTGCATCCATAACTGCTACTTACATAGGCAAGGAATATTAGAGAAGTATTAATATATTCCTGTAATGGCTTCTTTTAATATAGTGTATCTGCTGGAAATGAGGAAGTGCCAGTGCCATGGTCTCCCACAAGTGGTCCATGTACTGTAATTTTAGAATATTTGATTCAGAATATGTGAATGAAATCATTACCTTATTGGGCAGACATTGTTTGAGAGAAAAACTCATTTGTGTGATTTTCATTTAATAATATGAACTCATTAATTTTTTTTTCTTCTACACATAGTGCCCATACTGTGGACAGAGTTGGGATTTTAGGGGAGAAAATTTTAGACCATTTACAAGAGCTTTGAACAGTGATGGGACTGTGATAGATATTTTCCTTTTTAGGACTGCCTTTCTCCACTGAGGTTCCAACTGAACTTTTGCTATCTTAATTTATTGGATTTTTTTCCCCAAAAAAATACATGAAGAGAAGAAAAATATCCAGGACAGACTTCTTAGTTGAATCTGACAGACTGTACATACTCTTTAGGAATCCCTTGTTTATGGTTTTATTTTAATGTAAATAGAAACTATTAGGAATGAAAAACAGAAAAATGTACTCCACTCAACATTTTAAAACTATTTGTATTTTTGGCCCTATGACGCACAGGCTGGTCAGCCTTATTCTGAGATTATTTATTAGTGTTTCCAGAGAAGGAATTGACAGAAACTGAATAAGAAATGTTGGCCTGCCACAAGGAAATGCAGTATGATTTTGCACTAGTGCTACTTACACAACTGTCATTCTGGTTGCTTCATCTTGGAATAAGCAATATTGGCATTTGGATCTCCAAGATCTTTCTTACGACCCTTTGTATTCTCTGCCACTGCCATCAGAACTTTTTGATTTAAGAAAGTGGTCTTGTTTTGCATACTAGTTCCAAAATCATTTCACCTTGCTGCTTTACAGGATGCTGATAATCTTTTGACTTAGCCTGCTCTGCAAAGGTACAGAATACCATACTACAGTCCAGGAAATCAGCTACATTGAAACATCTCGCCAAATGTAGAAAAGGTTTTCACTATGGGAGCAAATAATTTTTATTTTGGATTGTTTGCTTTACTCAGAATTTCTTGGCCTCTCCTTATCTTTAGTCAGGGCGCACCTCTCTGCTATCAGTTTACCGTCTTCCAGTGGCCAATGATGCAGTTTTAAGTCATTCCACTGTCACAGGATTCCTTAAAGAACTGATCAATATCTTCCATTGGTTAGAGAATCTTTAGCAATGTGAGCTCTCAGCCTGGTGGTGAGAGAGGTAATGTTTGCACCCTTTAACCTAGGGGGAGAATGCTCTTTATTCTGCTTGTCAACAAAAAAAGCTGTAGTGAGAAGAATGAATAAACTGCAGGCTTTAATGGCTGATCCTCCCTTTACTGTATTCCACAGACATTTGTTCTATATCCCAATCCTAAAGTCCTGCCAAAAGTAGTGTCTGAGTTCCACCTAAATCAGAACTTTAATTTCTTTGTGCTGTTCTTCCCAGCACCTCTCTCACCCATCAGAAACTAGATTCCACACCATAGATGACAAAAGGTACTTCAGCTCTTGTTTGTGTAGGACATTTAGCAATCCACCTAGATTTTATGGTAGTTTTGGGGGACCAGTGCCAAAGTATCTTTGAGTGGATTAGGCTTATATTAAGATGTTAATTTTAGGTAGGGTGATCTCCTCATGATCTAAGGGCTTACTCTGCTGGGGCTAAGACAGCATCAGTGACATGCTTTTGCACACTTATAGAAATGTTCAGGACTGCTACCTGGAATTCTGTACACACATTTACTCAGCACTGTTCTTTTGACTTAGCTTTTATTTTTTATTATTATTGTAGTAGCTCCTGTAGGCCCTGATCAGTCCTCATTGTGCTAGCCTCTATGTGCACAAACACCAAAAAGACAGTTTTGACACCAGAAAGCTTACAGTCTAAGTCAAACTGATGTTTGCTTTACGAGGTCAGTTCTGCAAACCTTAAGTAGAATTCCTCATTTTGCCTCAGTGGGAGTTAAACTCGTCACTAGACTCCCACAAGAGTTACTATGCTGAGGACACCTGTAAGAAGAGAAAACAATTAATTACAATAGTGCCTCTGATTCTTAGACAGTGCTACCTTTGTAACCCCAGCTCCAAATATTTAGAGCCACAAAGAAGTGCTGGTGCAATTCCCAACAAGCACAGCTTTTCTAGAAGTTTTATAAAACTTAATGGACCTGTTGGCATATCTAGTATGATTGTGCACTGGCATCACTCTCAAAGAACTCAGTTACTAGGGGGAAGGAATTATTCTTGGTGATATTTTTTCTTTGTATTGACCTTTAAAATGCATAAATTAAATTACTGTGGTGGCCCATTTTCTTCCATTGCTTTGAGTAGAAATTTCATCAGAAGAGATGCTTGTTAAGTTGTTAAGATGCTTGTTAAGATGTAGGTTGCTGACGTATATTTGTTCTTACTTTGATCAAAATCAACCAGTTGTTGCTATGCTAAACTTAAAGTGGAGAATGTATGTTTCTGATACCAAGCAAACAATCTTCATCCTGCATTGTTGTGTCCTTTGTCAATCATACAGAATGCCTTTATTTTATTGACTGCAGTCTCTAATAGAATTTTCTTCAATATGATAAAACATTTTTATTTTATATAAATTACTAATGCTTTCTTCAACAATGAAAAGCCAGTCAATGCTAAGGTGTGTTATGCATATCAGAAACAGGACTTTTTACCCAAAATATTGTGTAGCAAATACATTAAAAGTATTAATGCCACTTCTTTTCTTTATCCTTTCACCATTGTGTCAAGAAGCTCAGTCTGTTTATAAACTCCAGGCAGACCTTTTGTGTAATAGTTATGGACAGGTTTTAATGAAATTTGAGAGAATCTCTAGAAATCAGAGACATAGAGGCCTTTAACAGTGTGGTGTTGCTTAGCAACCTTAAGCCATTACATTTCCAGGCTCTGTAATAACATGATATACTGCTCTTCCGCCAGTCCCTGGTGAAAATGTAATGGAAATAATCACTTTCTAAAGGTTGTACTCCATGAGTGTTTGGGTGGTAAAAGATTGTTTTTCCATTTCACTGCTGGGTTTTAATCTAGTCTACAAAGTAAGTTTAGTATTGTCCCCTGAATGCTGAATGTGTCGTGGTTGGAATACATTTTAAGATGATATTTTAAAAAGCAGACATAATATTTAGTTTAAAAAGCAGAGATAATATTCCTAACTAATGTTAACAAACAATACTGAATCTCTTACAAACCTGCTGTCCTTTTTCTCCACTCAAGAGGCAATGCATTGGGACAAAGTCAGCAGTGAAGAAAACTGTGTTTTAATTTGATAAGAAAACTAATGTTACTGAGTGTAAGAAGCAATGTAGTGTAATTTATACTAATTTAGATTTCAGTGGGCTCAATTTCCTATTGCACTATACATTGTTCTGATGTTCAGTGTGCCAAGAACTGAGTGAATACTAGAATATTTGTTTGAATTTTTAAACAAATTTGCTTCAGTTTACATGAACATGTGTGTTCTATTAGCATAAATTCTCAATGAAAGCGAAGTTTAAGATCCCTTAATCAAATATTGGAAAGTTTATCTTAAATGCACAGTGAGTATTATCAACAGCACCCATAAGAGCCCTCCAATCAAGGAACAAATAAAATTGTGATTTTTGATCACTCACAAC